AATATATATATATATATATATATATATATATATATATATCATAAATATATATAATTAATATATTATATATAATTAATTATAATATTATATAATTCGTATAATTGATTATATATAATCTAATTATACGTATATAATCAATTACATTATAAATTATATATATCTATAATATATATAAATTTAATATAATTAAATATATATATAATAACTATATATATAATTTATATATTCTGTTCGTGAAGTGTTCGAGCTGCATAAAAATTACGGATGATCCTTCCTTTAAGTTGCCATGGAACTTCTTCGCCTTTACTTATTTATAATACTTACATAGACACACCTAACTTATTCTTAGCACAGTACTTCGCGATGATCGGTATACGCTCGCGCTTTTGTCGCTGCTAATACCATCTTAAAATATACACTTACGGAGTATATGCGTGTGTAGGAGTATCTGTATACGTGTATACGTGCGTATATATATATATGTGTATGTGTGTGTCGTGTTTATAATTTATACGCAGATATATATATATATATGTATATATTAATTTAGAATTGTGCAATGAAGGTATTAGAGCCATTAGTGCGACTACTGCTGCGGATGTGGTTGGACGTAGCTCTTTCTCTCTCTTTCTTTCTGATAACTATTATCGTATATCAAGATTGCAAGTGCGTGCATCTGCAAGTGCGTTCTCGCGTTTGCCGGATCTATTTGGTGGACACGACTCGTACACTGCCTCTCCTTCTCGCTCTCGATTTTTATTATCCCGACGATGAGGTTCTCGGACTCCGATAAAAATGCGTCAAGGTCGGCTTCCTTAAGGCCAACCGGAGCTCTTCTCGCAGTTCATGTATGACTTAATCGAAGTATATTAAAGATGTTTCGATTATATCTTAAGCGTGCGCCTTTGATCTCGTTCCCTTTCTCCTTTCCCGGCTATTTAAAGTGTGCGCCGTTATAACGCACCGCTCGCTGGATGCAAACGATGCGGGAGATTATAGGGAAAGGGTCTTCTTGCGTCGTCGAAACTAAGGCAGGACGATCGTTCATGTGTTATCCTGACAAGCGGACTTTATTCTCTGACCTGGTCTTCAGCTTCCGTTCGGATAGACTGTCTTCCAATCCACTTGTCGCATTAGTAGTGTATCCTCATTTATGAGTTACAGGAGAGATTATCGAAGCACGAAGATGATCTTTCGCGGCGCGATGTACCATCGTTTCTCGTTCGTCTACTTGTTGATCGATCCGCTTTCATTGTCGGTCCATTAAAGCGTCGTCAGCTGCTACTCTATATACATCTTCATTCGTAACCTATCTCAAATAGATCAATGTACACTTCGTCCTCATTTCCTAACTTGAAAGCTGCCTATCTCATATCCAGCTGCCGATTTGTCCGATTAACTCATAATTAATCGCCTGCTCGTTTTCTGTCTCGATATTCTTTCTAATCATAATATGGACGTCTGTTTTCAACGATAAAGCGTAATATCCGATTGCATCCGTCTCCTTCCTTCGGAAGTGGGCATCGGCAATATTTAATAATATTTTCGCGTATATTCTCTCGCTCTCGGCAACGCTCCGAGCGCGAATGCGCACTCAAATACTTACGTTTTTTTCTCGGAATACCAACGATTCCCCAAATTTCTTTCCTCTCATTTTCTACATCGCTATATTCTCAAAAAATCCTCGCTCACGTCCAGCTAACTCGACCGTATCGTCCAGCAAGCGGCATCGCGATTTCTCGCGACCTTGGACACGCGAATAAAATTACATCTGATGTCCATTCTGTGTCTCCTGATCAAACAGAGTCCGCGTCCTAGATTTTAAGTCAAAATCTAAAATTTCTTATTCGATTCTCCGGGTCACTTCGCATTCCAGGACAGGGGGGAGGGACTGCGAAGACACGATCCTCTCGTACCTCCGCTACATGGACAAGCTCGGAGACGGAGGCGGCGGCTGCTCGTCGCGGCCGTGGTTTCTGGCGAGGTCCTCCCGGTGGTCCCGCGTAGGACCCGCTCGTAGGACCCGTTATACCCAGGAGTCTCCGGCGGCGGCGGCGGTTGAGCTCGGCGGCGGCACTTGGTTCGCCACCGTCGCCGCTACTGACGTGGCGCCGGTGCCATCCGGTACCATCCCGACGCCGTCCGGCACCCACTGGCCGCCTCCACCGCCACCGCCCGGTCCAGCTATGCCGCCACCGCCTCCGGGTATCACGGCGCCGCCACCGGCCTGACCCACCTGTCCACCCTGGCCCACCCCCAGCTCGTACTGCCGCTTCTTTTTCTTCTCCAAGTTAACTTGCGCGTAGAGCGGCTCACCGGGTTTCGGCTGCTGCAACACACACACAAGCCAACGGTTAGCCAACTGGTGGTCGCGCGTCTCTCTTGCGAGGAGGGGTGGGCGAGGGTGTAGGGAGAACCGCGCGGCGCCTCGATCCTTTAGACGCTGAAAGAAGCTTTGAAAGACACTTTGGGAGTGGTATTTTTGCCACAGTGTACTCTCGAGCGTAATATTCATGTAATTACTACTCGCACATCATAAATTTGAAATCATTTTTCAAAAATAAACACACATCTCTGAAAATCTTAAAGGGTTTATTAAAGGGTTTATACGAATAAATTATTACGTGCCAATGTTGCTGTATGAATTATTATTGCAATTTCTATTTGTGTTTCGATAAATTGCAATACATGTTTCATACATTTTACGTTCTTTTCTCACAATTATTTCTTATATTCTAGATAGTTCGAGAGTACATTGTAACATCTAGGTAAGATCACGAAAATGTGATATGTTTGGCCTTTATTTGCAATCAGGTATATAGACTGTCTAATATACATATTTTCAAGTAATTGTTCTTTTTTGTTACACTTTTTAGTGTATTCGACTAAATACAGAATATAAATATTCTGATGTGATGAGATGTGAGTAATTCGTAGCTGAGATACACATGTTATAAAGACGCACATAAAATCGCGTGTGTTGTGTATACGTGTGTACGTGTGCTACACAAAATTATACATAATCATAATTAACCTACATCTTTCTTCACTGTGTGGAATATAAAAATGAAATTCTACATTGTTTCACATTTCGAAAATAAAGTACTCTATCATAATAAATTTCCTACACTGTCAGCTGAACAATTCGACTCGACTTCCATTAAAAACTTGATTATGTCCGATGATAATATCGTCAAAATAAATTTTCATTGAATAGTATAGGATTCATAATTTTATATACGGTGTAGTATAATATGCGAATACCCATTAATTATACTCTGCGTATTTACGTATACAAGATTAATATAATCATTTCTTAAGCTTATATACAAAATCGGGTATACAGTACAAACTATAATCTACGTAATAATTTAATTGTAAATGTGTGTCATACCTCACTAATAAAATATCAGCTAAACTAGCAGGGCACTGAGAAAATGCATAGGAAACCGAGTCGCCTCCTGATTCGATGCCATTTTCAATATTCGATATACGAATACCGCTTTCTTATCATCCGTTAGAAGCTAAAATAATCGTCGTAGTGACGGTGTGAAGGTGTTCGTTTAGGCAGTGATCTCTGTAACTTCTTATCTTGTTAGTGTAACATTGTGCGTTCTTTCAGAAACGAAGGTGTACAAAATGATGCGAAGATCTTGAGTATCTTCGCTTAGACCTAGAATAGTCAGTAGTAACACTGCACGATGCATTTCTATTGAAGATTACACCGCGCGAGATAACCGCCTTTTGCGCGATTCGTCAAATTAATTAGCAAGTTGGAAAATTGTTATGAAAACCGTGCAAAAAGTTTCGGGATTTAAAAAGTGGCTACGCGTTATTAAAAAGTGAGAGTTTGGTCCAGTCTCGTGCGGTAATTCGTCGCGTGAATATTTATATGGATTCTCGTAGCCAGATTCACATTAATAAACGCGTATTACATACAATGATTAATTTTAACATTTAACTTGATTGTATAATAACAATTATTAACTAGAAAAATGTTTATTTCAGTATACACGAAATTTTTTTTTTTGCATCTACCTAACGAAAAATATGATAAAAATAAAATCTTACAAAATATAAAATCTGCGGGAAGACAATCACCGACATATCAATTATTCAATTAAATTATAAAGTGACATTTGTTCATTTTGGCCAAAAGCCGCATCAATCGTTCTAGATAACTAACTACTTTTGTCGCGTTTGAATCACACTTTTGCAAGTCTAAGTAAAGTTAAATACTAATTATAAAGTTAAATATAATTATTTATCTGGTGTTTGAGGAAGTCATATCGAAAGACTATTAGTCCTTAAATTCTATTCTGTATAACGACGGGAATATTGAAAAATTATCATGGCAACATAGTCGAGATTAATAAGACGAAATACCGTCGGTCTTAAGAAAGAAATTATTAAACGCAAGTTTTTAAAGCAATGAATCTGCAAAGGCAAAAATAAATTTAAAAAAGAGTACAATGTCGAGATGCAGAGAAATTGATGTGACTCTATCGCAAAATATAATTCTATGTAAAAAATTAAATTTTTTAAACATATTCTCGGATAGTTATATCTGCAAGTCTTTGTTTTATTATTGTTTTATTATTTAAATATTAATAAACTTTTTCTTAAAACCGACGGCTTAAATTGCATATAATGTGCACATATGGACTTTTTTTCCCTACATTTTGAATATGTTTTTCTCGACTTACCCTATGTGTCTACATGCGTGTGAGTACGCGGTGTATATTTATCTAGTGATGTTGTTAGTTATTATTACTTACTGATTGATATATAGTAGGTCGACCGACATTATTCGAATTCATGTTCGCTCGCTGTATCGTTCGATCCTCGTATCTTGTGCTTCCTTGGCTTGCCATCGGTCGATTCAGAGTGCTGCAATCGTAACTGCATTTTAACGTAGAATCGAATTATCTAAAGGTAAATAACGAGGACTCCGCGAGAAAATAGATAAAAGCCGCGAAATAAATAAATATACGCGACAAAATGAATAAATCATAAACGAAAAATAAGCGGAGTCCTAAAAATCAAACAAATATAAAATTTATAAAAAACAAATTTAATTTAACGACGATACTTCCAATATGATAATAAATGATAATAAAAAGTAAAAGTCCAGAGAAGTAAAATTTGTATAAAAATAACGGAAAATAATTACACATAATATAAATAATACCAAATAAATAATACCAAACATTTCCAAAATTAATTCAATATTAATTAAATTTCATAATTATATTACTATTTCGATATTAGAATTATCCATTATTGCGACAATCATATTGTATCTAATTTATACAATGTTCTACTTGTGGCAATTACCTGTTAGCGTTATTGGGTGAATTAGGCCCTGAATTCCTAGCGGCGACAGTTTTCGTGACAAAATCTTGCTCCTTCCAACCGTGCTTCTTGTATACATCTCGCAACTCTTGATGTTGCCACATGGTGAATAGTACTTGTCCTAAAAATACGCGTAAATAAAATAATCCCTTGCTCTATATACATATAATTTATTGCAACAACGCAATTAATTTCATCAAGCCAACGTTCTAAATTCTTACCTGCAAATTTAAGAACTCGCGGCGTATATTTCTGGCGTTGCCTAGTGATGTTCATCAATCTGTCGACACCGCCAGCATCGAGCAACGACCGCGAAAACTCGGCGTTCTTCTTGATGACCTCGTTTAGAGTCGCGAGCACCGCGGCGATCGTGTCGTCGCTCGTGCCCTGATCATGCTGATTATTTCCAGACGGTAGCTTCTGAATGAGATCCCTCATCGCGTACTTGCCTATTAGCTCCTTATTGCGTTGGTCTATCGCCAAGTTTCTAAGTGCGGTCGCGACCGCGCAGACTACTCGATCCACCTAGCCGCAGAAAATACATTATTCATGAGTATAATAATCAATTTTATTTATTTTAACGAGTAGTTTTGCATTAGAAATTAAAAACTAATATTTTTTTATTACTTATTCTGGTAGAATACAATTTATATGTCATTTCCCAATATATTTTTCAAGCAAATATCGTAAAAAATATAAAACACACAATCAGATGTTAGAAGTTCTTATAAATGGGAAAGATAAACGTTAATTTGATGCGATAAAGGAAACGATGTTGAATAACATTTAATTATTCCGCAAAGACAACTCAAATATAATCAATTTAATAATTTATTTAATTTGTAAATCTAACATATACATTTTATAACGGTTCCTCTTTGTGTACTTATGGAGGGGGTTAAATATTTGACACGTTGTGTAATTACCTCCATTCTCAATAGTTCCACTAATATAGGGAGACCCTTTTCCTTGCGCACGGCCGCGCGAATCTCGATGCTCGGCTGCCAGTAACAAGCCGCGAGATTTTGTAGGGCTCCGGCGGCAGCCTCCAGCGTTTCCGGATTTGAACACGTTTGCAGGAGACTGAGATACGACTGGACCACTTCCGGCTGCCAGAGCAATTCCATTCCTCTGACCGGTTCGGTTCGCGGACTCGTCGTACGTGACGCCGTGGTTTCCTTCTGAACTGGTTGACCGTCCTTCTTCTTTTTGCTCCCGCCGAAGCAACCGAGATTCTCACCTAGAGCAGAATGACAAAGGATCCATTATTAATCGGTCGAAATTCACTGAAACTAATATGAAGCCGAGAGACAGATGTCTCATTTTACTTGAGATTTGGAATTAGATTGATTTGTGTCCAATTAGCGAATCGTTTTACTACGAGATTTCTTATTCCGCGATATTGTAACAGCACTGGAGAAACATTGAGCAAATATTGATATGATTTCGAGAAAGGAAATTCGACTTGTGTACTAGCGTTACCCAAGGTGCCTGTTAAAACTTTAAAATTATCTAACTGACCTGTTAAATTAAACGAATTATTTATCTACGCAACGAACGAAATCAGAAACGAAACTGTAAATTATACGCCATACTTTGCAACAAGCATTAATTTATTTTCGGTTAATTTTGCTTTCGAAGTTTAATAATTTTGCAAGATAGACAGTGTATGCAGAAGTATGATTCATCGCTTGAAAACATGGCGGTTGCGATGTTAAATCGAAATAATAGAAATAGAAAATATTTCTTACAGGGAAAACATAAACTCAAATACAACGTAGATCAACTTACGATCTGGCAAAGCAAGGCATGCAATAACTATGTCTTCGAACAGAAACTAATTTATCAATGGAATTGCAAAGAGGGGGCTTACCTTGACATAAACTGTATGCTAAAAAGATTGAAACACAGTTTAATCCATGCTGAACTAGGATTCATAAAAAATCTGTAATAATGATTTGTCAACTAAATATCAAAATCAACTCAAAAAGGAAGTCCATAAATGTATAACTAGGATGTAAGTGTAATTATGTGTTATCTAAAACAGAAATAAAGAAGGAGAGGAGAAAGAGACGGAAAACTTAATCGACACAAAGAGAGATAAAGTATGTACAAAGATATATGGAATTCGTCTTTGTATATGTACATTTCTGGACACACTGCACATGTATATCCATTCGCCTTGAAAAATAAAAGGAACAATAAAAGGCAAGTTAATCGGTCGAAATCAGAAGAGACAGTCCGGGACGATAAATTGACTGTGGTAGGATTTGTAAAACGTACCAATTATCTATCTACGCAAACCAACTACTCTTAATTATAAACGTTTTGCTATCGCCACTTTTCTAAGTGCGTTATTTACGGTTTACGAGAGCGATACAAATTTCATCCCCACACTACCTCTCACTTCGGTAAACCGGTCCCGGAAGTTTTAATCAAATTTAATACGCTATGTAAACTAACTATCTACAAACTACCGACTACGCGCCGTAAAATATCAGCGACTCTGTATCCGTGAAACGTGAGTGGTAGAATTAATGATACAATCTCATTCAGACCAACATTGCTTACCTCGAGCAAATGTAATCGCAAATATTTTAACGAGTCGTTCGTAAATATTTCAGGTGGAATTTATGAAAATCGGAAATCTCCGATATATTGAAAATTAAGAAAGAAAGCCACATTCTGCGGAAAATTGAAAAGTAATCGCGAATGTCGAAGAAATTTCGACGAGGTGATTTGTCTGAATTCAGCGCGAGATAATTAACTGTTTTTAAAGTCCGCGTCATGATAGTTTTGCACAATGGCTGGAAAAGTGTCTACAACAGGGAAGCTGCGTGTCCCCTCCGATCTAATTTCATGGTTGGTTTAAGGGGTGAATCATTTACCTCCTCTTCTCACTTGTCCCTCCCAATCTTTACATACACGCGCACATACACACGTATATCACGCGTATGTACACATACACGATCTGACTGCAGCTGCATGCATACCGAGGGAGACTCGTGCATGCTGCAGGAAAACATATTCGTTCTAAGCAACGCTCGAGATATCCCTCTATCTTTGCAATTTATTTTTCATTAAAGTACACTATTAAGTACACTACTACGTTGACACGTTGCATGTCCACGGTTATCTATGCAAATATATATTTTTCATCATAAAATAATTCCGCGATTGCAGATTTTATCTATATTTGTACACCTCAATACGAGAGATCTAGCGACCCGATTCTTCAAAAGCACATGAAAATTATTTTCAATTTAATCCTGAGATTAATCTGATTGAGAGATGTAAAACTCGTGACTCGCGTATCTCAATTTTCAAGATTTTCGTGATAAAATTAAAACTTCTCATATATGATATCTTTTATCTACATTTTTCACGAGATAATTAGTCATAGGAAAAAAAAAAAAAAAAAACAAATACGTGTAGAAAGCGAAAATAAATGAAAGTAAAAATAGAATAATTCTAGAGAGAATTAAAACTGGAGTATTTATCTGTATATAAAAGTTACTTTTATAAAATCTTTCGATCAGATTAAATTTAACTTAAATCACAAAGTTAGATTAATTTTCTCGAGTTTTCTCCCTTCCCCACAAAAAAAGATAGAAGGAAATTTAGACCACTGTCGCGCATTGATCTTTTTAAACAAGTTCTTCCGCTGTCCTTCTCGGGCTCACCTTTCGCGGGCGCAGTGACCCTGTTCTGCACCGTAGACTGGATCGGGTGTTTGTCGTAATTGGGATCCTCCACCTCTTGGCAACGGTAGCTCAGGTTCCTCAAGATGCACACGCAATTCTCGACGATCTTGTTACCGATGTTAGACTTCTCGATCGCCGAACGTACCACGTAGAGCAGCGCGTCCACGAGACCTTCGCACTCGCGCAGATTTTTTCGCGCGTACTCGCCCGCACTCGACACGTTTCTCAGCACGCCGGATGCGTTCCTGAACACGGTGGACCAGCAGGTCTCGCCGCTCGACGAGCTTGGGTCCCAGCCACTGTGAGGTATTATTATGTTGTTTACCACCATCGTCACGCCGTCATCGATGATCGACCTCTTCAGGTCCTGAAATCGCATGTTAAAATCAGGCACTCTGTGACTTTGAAATCTCGATGAAAAGATCTGATAGAAATTATTATATTATTATAATTGAACGGCCGCGAATATCGCAAGTCTGTGTGAATAAACTTCTGCTCTATTATAATGATAGAGAGAAAGAGAGACAGACAAACAGGGAAGACAAAGGAGGGAAGGAAAGAGAAAAGGGGAAAGAGAGAAGGAGAAAGAGAGAGAAAAGATAAAGAAAATATTTAAAAAATTGAATCATTAATATAAATAGATAGATAAGTATGAGAAAGTTCTTCTAGTTTTCATTTCGCTTAGCGTAAGGGACACCCTTCGAAAATTACTCACTTCGCACGAGGACAGATTCCACAGCACTCCCGTGACCAGTTCCTTGACATCCGCGTCGGACGTCCGTCGCAGCAGGTTGATCAGGGCCGGCACGCCGCCCGCGTTCTTGATCGCGCGTTTGTTCTCGTCGTTCTGCCGGCCGTACGACAGATTCCGCAACGCCCCGCACGCATTCCTGTACACGTCCGGGTTGTCGTGATCTAGCAGCTGCACGAGCGGCGGTATACCGCCGAGGCTGCGCGTCTTCTGTTTGTTCGGGTCGTCCATGTAGCAGAGGTGCTGCAGATACGCGGCCGCGTTCGCCTTGATTATGTTATTAGGGTTGCTCAGGAAGCCGATCACCTCGGACAGATTCGGGTCCCGCCAGCGCATAGACTTCTGGTCGTCGTCGAGCGGACTCGCCATACCAGGCACCACCGGATGACGCGATTGCAACCGTTGCAGGTGCACCTCGTCCTCGAAGATGCCGGGTGGCACGGCTGACGTGAGGGGGACCCCCGGGTGACCCTCTTCGTAACCAGGCACGTCACTTGGCACCGGTCCGACCCCCACGGCCGGGCCGTAACCCACGGGTCCATATGGCGACGGCGACACGTAGCCGTAGGCGACTTTACTCTCATCTGAAATATGATACGGGTAAGTCATCGGTTACTAATTCCGTTGGGAATGACATTCGATATGCCCCTATCGAAGTTATTCTATCGAAGTTTCCGTTCGAAAGAGAGAAAGAGAAACGGAGATGCATAATTTAACGGTGTGATATCTTCGGCGATAAGCGCTTATCTTTGGAACTATTACTTTTCAAGAGACGCACGTGTACTTGTTTTAAAAATATTTCATGATTATAACATAATACAAATATCGATAATGATTTATACGTATACACCTTTACGTATATACCATACCATATATACCTTTTAAAATCTATAGTCATTTATAACGATTATGAATTTCAATTATGAAAAGATTATTTTATCTGCCATTTCACAATTAATTTTTCATTTAACTTTCAAAACAAAAACCGAAAAATGGGCAATACAGTTCAGAATTAAAATGAGGAAAAATATCACGGGATATCACGGATCAGAATTAAAATAAAATTTTATATCGTATCACACGGCAGATTAAATACATACTCTTTTATGACGTCTATTAGATTATCTTATATAACGTGATTGTGAAAAAAAATTAACATTATTTTATAATCACGCTTAATGGCCACGATAAGTCACATATATAAGCACAAGTGAAATCTGAAGAAGAACGGGAAGTATTAATCCATTTTTTAATATTAAGGAAAAAGTTTAAGAGAAAAAAAAGGAAGTCGGAGGGAGACAAGAATTAGACAAATGATGAATGTGACTTCTACGAGGAAGACCTTCTTAAGAAGGCTTGGTTGAGGTCATCTATATTCCGCGTGTTGCCGACTCGATCTCCAGGAAATACGTAAGAGTAACGTCGGAGATAATTGAAGTGAATTATGCAGTGTTTCGGTTGTGTACGGCGCATGTTTTCGTCGTTTTCGTGCGTAAAGGCGATCTAATCGCGATCGCGTGAACGTCACGCCAAAATCGAATTCCACCAGCCGGTTGCCTCGCGCCTACGACGACACCCGGATCGCAACTTGTTGGAGTCTGTCGCTTCAGTACCTACCGTACTGATCTCCGGGACCACCTGGACTCGGGGTAATGCGATAATGGTCCTGCAAAGCGGGGTTTAAACCGGGGTCGATGTCGTTATAGCTACCCTCCACGTAGGGCGCACCCTTGCGCATGTACTCTGCGGAAAACAGATCACCGTGTTTATGCTGTTATCGAAGATTCACTTCGTATACCATCGCTCCCTCTCGGGACGTCTTGGAAACAAGATAAGCGTTAGAAACACACATTACGTCTAATAATCATTCCCGGTGAGGGGAAAGTTTCGCTTAGAAATTATCGTGTCTCATTTCTAAATGCCGCTTGCTAATTTCTAACTTTTATATCATTTCGCGCAATGCAAAGCTTAAACGTAATATTAAACAAATAAATAATCTTTCCGTCATCGTTCTGACATCGTTGTGAAAATTTATTTTCAGACAAAAGAATGGGAGTAATGATGATTACGTACCGTGTGGCGGAGAAGCACGACTGTGTTCCGATGGGCTGTGGGGGCTGTGGGGGGAATGCGAGCGCGGCATGTAGATGCCATGGGGTCCCGGGTACCCCGGTTGCGGCGGATAGCCCAGATACGGATCGTAATGGTCGAAACTGACCATGTACGGGTCCGCGGGGTAACGGGGGTCCGCGTGCTGATAGTCCTGCGACATCAACGGCACCGACATGTAACTGACCGCGCCCGAATCCGGCTCCATGTGGGAAACCTCGCGCACGACTTTCGTCACAGTCGTCACCTGAGGAAGGAAGCGAACGTCGTCATACACACGATCTTCGTTCTTCTCTTACATTCGCGCGCTCATTCAACGGGGATTTTTGTCGCGGGCGGCGCGTACGCGATGCCCGCGCTCGCGCGCACCACGTGATGCGACTATTGACATCGACGACGGAATTAGATTTTTGAAATGGAGCGTGACAAAAATCCCTCGAGGCGACCTCGAGCTAAAATTAACCGAGCGATTTCGCTTTTTTTCGTTTATAAACGAAATGGAATTCAAGAATAGGAAATTAAAGCCTTATCAGCGCAATTGCATCGAGACTTACTCTTGAAACGTGCAACATATACGAGATACAAATATAAAAATAAAACATACAAGAGAGTGATTACTCTCTCTCTCTCTGGAAAAATCTGGAAAACCTCAGAAATTCTCAGAAAATCTCTCCTTTATTCTTGAATTGAAGAGTTTTAATCGAGATTCAGAGAAATTGTTTAAATTTAAATTTTGTCCTTCTAAAAATTAATCAAGAAATACCTTTCCAGAAAGTTCAGAAATTCTCAGAGAGTTTTTTTTTTTTTTCATTTGAGTAGACAGCATGTGTAAAAAATTTTTGATATTACTTAATTACATTACGAGTAAGTCGGTCTTGTGTGATGACAATAGAAATTGAAGAGACTTTCGAAAGATAATGTCGCGCGAAGATTTAAGAAATATTAGCGGGAATTCATCTCACTTGCTGAGAAGTCTGTTGCTTGTGGGTCCGTATAAGCAGCGGATCCTCCTGGACGGACAGATGAGACGAGTGCAACGAGTGGGTGTCCGCCTGTCCGTTACTCCCATGGTAATCCGTGTCGCCCTGTCCGCTACGGCAAAATCAGAGAAATGAGGGATCGACGGAAGTGCATACGTGGCGTTGCACGATATCGTAAATTACTATGATATGCTTACGTATATTGCGGCATGTCGGGGGCTTTCTCCTGTAGGACGCGTCTGAAAACGAACGTTTCCCTTTGAGACTTGTTTACGCATCTCAGAGGAGATGTTTTATAAAATAATAATACGCTCAGAAAGGGAGCTAAAAGAAGGGACGGAGGGGGAGAGATATTTTTTTCTACGAAAATTGATACTTCTCTACGAAGCTAAATTCTACAGCAGATTATTTTGTAAAATAAACATAACATCGTAATTTTGTGTTTTTATGTGTTTTCTCTTATTGATCGTTTGAAGGAAATATCTACCAATCGAAATTGTAATATATAGAGGAAAGTTCCCGATAATTCTCGTAAAGAGACACACTCTCTTATTTCTCGGAAATGTAAAGCATTGCACTTTAGTAATATTGATAAAAATATAATGTGTTAAAATAATTAAAAAATAAAAATCTATTCAATTCATATATTTGTGGCTTGGTTATCTTATGAAAAAATTAATTATTGCAAAATACAAAAAAAAATATTATAAACACTGTTATATCATCTGATAGAAGACACTTTCTAGTTTGCAGGTTTTTGTCTCTAAAATTTCATATTTAGCTTCTGTTTAGGAAATATAGTTAAAAAACGAGGTATGAACGGTGACTTTCCTCTATAAGATAATCGTGAAGTAAATTGCTGAAATTTTACAATCATACCTCGTCGATCGATTCAGAATTGATCTCTCATCTTAGCGGAATCTTTTCACTTAACCTTTCACTTTTTTTTTTTAATAAACTCTAATTGACATTAAATGAAGAATAACGTTTTGTCGCTCGGAAATTATCGAGGTCACTCGATGTCCGAAGAAAGAATCGATCGGAGAGTACGATCATATCATGAATTACATGGGAATTATTTGTGCGATTATTTGTGCCAGAGCGGCGAGCCACGAGTAACGATTTTGCGATTAACATGTAATGGAAAGCAAATCAAATATACAACAACAAGACAAAGGGATGCGCATACACGCACACACGCATACACACACACACACACACACACACACACACACACACACAGAATAGCCGACGATGATCTCGAGGAGAATGCTACTAATTGTACGAAGCACATCCTTCTCGCTAGCCACGTCACTCCGGTCATGCTAAATGATTGCGCAAAAACCATGCGTCGATGTTGCGCTGGGCTGCGGGTTACTCACTCTGAAAGCGCTGTAACGTGTAACATCTTAGCGGTTTAGCGGGTTATTAGAAATTACGCGACAATGCCGGGTCAATTAGCGCTTAATTAGGTCACGCCGCAATTTGGAATGCGTCGTCCGTAACAGTTTACGCCCGGCGATAAAAATCCTCTCGCGTCGCGGCGCGCGATGGAGAGAGAGAGAGAGAGAGAGAGAGAGAGAGAGAGAGAGAGAGAGAGAGAGAGAGAGAGAGAG